CATGACTGGGTTTACTTGTTAAAGATCTGTTTTAAAACCACAACATGACTTGAAGCAAAACTAAAATTGCCATTAAATATTTTTATTGTTAGGATCTTTTGTTTCAATTTCTGATTCAAATTCAACAAAGACAAGGCTAGAGACGTAGATTAAAGTGAAAAGAGAAGACATATAGTTCAAGACACAGTGTGTGGTTTTGGGCGAGAAATAGGTCCAAACCCGATCCGAAGCTTGGCGGTCACATGGTTCGCTGAACGAAGGCGCCATTCAGACAGGAGGATCGTCAAGGCCGAAGCAAATAGACGGTGACATGAAGCAAATAGACGGTGACATGAAGCAAATAGACGGTGACATGACATCAAATCGATGAGAAACTGTTCGCAAGAGTATAAAGCTAGAGCGAAGAGAATTAGAAAACGAGAAGAAACAAGATGAATCACCAGATATCACACGAGGAAGGTGCCCAAAAAAACCAGCGATGGCATAAAGATAAAAAATGCTGCGAAAGAAAGGGATCAGAGCAGTTCGATTGGAGTTCACCCATTCTGATGTTATATGGGTTTCAAACCCATCTGCAAACCCTAGATCTTCAATAGGGGGAACTTGTTCCTTCAACAAATTGAAGAGGACAGTTTAGTCCTTTCATTCTTTTCAACAATTATTTTAGGAAAAAGTTCTTATCAACCTTATCTCCTAAAAATTAGGAAGAAAATTATCCTAAAATTATGTCGTTTCAATAACTTTTTATTAAAAAAGATTAAACTACTATATTTTTAAAATATGCATTATGGTGATATTTATCTTTTTTTCCTTTTAATTTTTAAAAAATAAGGCGGATAAGTACTAATCTCATTATTTTATTTTAAAATATTATTGTTAGTTTTTTCTTTCTTCGGCCGGGATGACGTAGGTCAGTTAATTGGTGCGTTGGATACCATGTCCTTAAAATGGTTGCCACGTCATTAAAAGCATGTAGGTTAATGATGGCCAAATGATGGTCAAAACAGTAAAATCATATAGGTTAATGTTATAGAGATAATTGTTTTATATTATTTTTTATATAATTTTTTATATAATTTTTATATATTATTAAATAAATATATATATTCAAAATAATGGCCAAATAATGGTTAAAACA